AGCAACAACCTCAAATACCATAAAACCAATTTATAAAAATGCAAAAAAACCAGTTGATTTTATGATATTTGAGATTGTTGCTCGAAAAATAATGAACAAAATACAATATGCACTAGAACTTTTACTACAAAATTGAATTCAAAAATGAAAAATGGAGACAGAGCAAATATTAACTGTTCCTTATGTATTTTCTTTTGCATGAAGATAAAAGAGCGACAAGTATATAGTGGACAAATATCTTTGTAATTTTTTCCTTGTCTATTATATACATGTGTGTCGCACTTCTTTACCACTGAAGGCAAAAAGTCTTTTGATCTTCTGTCCGAGTATTCTTGTCAGTGTCGGTACGAACACTGAGATACTAACACACTAGCGCACCAACACTCGCCCATCTCTAAATCGGATGAACAGTCGAATTATCAGTATTATATTTATAATCGATTACCTATTAGCTCGAAATTAATTATCATCAAAATAATTAATCTGATAATTACTAATATTTAATTAATTCGTTGATTATAGGTAATTTTAAAATAATTGATTGAACTATATGTAATGAAAATTGATTAAAACTAATGAAGATTAACTTGTATTTAATCGATTTTGTAACAAAATTCATTTCGATCTTTGATATGATATAAGAATTCAGTTTTATTAAAGATTGATTAACAATGTTTATTCATAATAAATATTAGTAAGAAAAGCTTTGATTTCAACATCATTATTCATTTCAATATTTTAAATAACTTCATAATAAATCAGACAATTTTAGCAGTATATGAATAATATCAAATCTCGCAATACTCTTTTTTTCACTCACTTTATCAAATCAAAATCACTCATATTCCTTCAATTCATTTAGACAGAATCTTTTTTCAACTCAAACTAGCTTTCTTCAGATTTAACAAGATTGCTTCATGCTTGTGGCTATGGCAACACAAAAAATATTATTATAACCATCATTAACAGAAAAGTTACATCTTTCACATATGTATAGAATCCAATCTTCAAACGTAAATGTGTTTGAAGACAACGTCATTTATTGTTTTAAACAAATTTCTTTTATGGCTTTTTCTTTGTATGAATAGATGATGCATAACTAAATTTCATTACCTAAAGACACTATTCTTCTATGATCTATAAGCAATGCTTACATTTATTAGAGAAATACAAGTGGTGATGTTCTTATTTTTTTCATAGAATGTCTTCTGTGAAAAACTATCTTCTGAATTTAAATCTTTTCGAATCATCTGATAATAGTATCGATACAGAAGATGAACATCGTCGTCGTTTCAATATTATTGCTACTCGGATCTATCTTATTATTCTCACACTAGTACTTATTATTATTGTTCTTGTCGTCTATTTAAGTCCTCAAACAACGATGATCACAGATGAATATTCAAGTAGAGCTCAGTTCGAAATTTTGCCTTTCGATGCTTATTGTCCATGTTCTTGCATATCTATTCGATATGGTGAATTCACTTCAATTCAATCAATTTTTCATCAAGTTTGTTCAAGTGACTTTGTTTCTGATCGATAGATTGAGGTCATTTTCTTTGGTTCAAATTCGACCTAATTCTATCTTTTTGACTTTCGTACTTATGGAAATGCTCTGTTTCAAGCACTTGCCAGTTTTTGTCGTCTTTCAAAAGACAGTGTACTTCAAGCGATTGCTTCATTCCATATGACTTCACTTATCAGTGCGCAAGTGCTATCCAAAACTGTCATTCAATCACAAGTTCAAGCATCCATTGAACAATTTCAATCAGCTGCACCAACTCAATTTGTAACACAATTACAATTAGTACATCAAATGATAATGGACAATCGCCTCTTCTCTGGACTTCAGACGAATAGTATTTCATCATACTATGTCATCAGCAATCAAGCGTACGACGTATACAGCTCCCAAATGGTATATATGTTCGATAACGAAATCTGGTGTCTATGCTTCAATAATCTTGACTGCGGAACAATTTCAGCTATAACTAATATATTTGGAGAACCTTCTCAAGTAAATGCTCCTGACGATGTACAGTTGCTGATGGAAATTCCTGGACTCGTTTCCAGTTGTCTGCCTGCCAATGCACTTTATTTATCAACACTTGGATATTTCTACAAACAACAATGTTTGAATGAACTTCTCTCATTCTTTTCCACAACTGAGAGATTTACAGCAATGAATGAATCTGAACCGAGCCGATTCAACTCTAATTCGACAATAAAAACAATCGTCGATCACCTTATGATAGAAAAATGGATTACAAATATTTCCTATGAAAAATATTATGCTCAATGTGCACCCATCTTATGTTCTTACTTAAAAATCGAGAGGCATAATGATTGGAACCCTTATTTGAATTTCCGGAAACTCCTTTAGTTTTCGGATTATGAAGATATAGTAGGTAATAGAAGTATAGGAGGTATAAGGAGGTATAAGGAGGTATAGGAGGTATAAGAAGGCACAGGGCGGTATAGGAAACATAGGAGGTGTAAGAATTGATTTTTTCGAGCAAGGTTTGGCAAGTGGCAGCAATGTATTTTGTGAATAGATATTTAAGTTCAAACGCTATTGAATCATTAGCTGCACCAATCAATCAATATCTCCAATATCTTCTATACCTCCTTATACCTCCTTGTACCTTCTTATGCCTCCTTATACCTCCTATACCTACTTATGCCTCCTATATCTCCTGTATCTTGATAAACAGGAAACAAAAGGGTTGTCCGGAAATTCAAATGAATGTCCTGGAAATTCAAATAAAGCATTATATGCATCAAGAGGTATGATGAGTGGTTGTTATCCAATTGAAGCTCTTCTTCAACCGACACTTCAATATTTCTATGATCAACAATGTATCGATTCGAATGATCAATTTTTAAAACTAGATATTTCTTCTTTAGAAAAAAGTCAATTCAACATTAGTACAACTATTGAGTCCTTTTTAAATCATCTTATGATAAATATTTTGAAGAATGTCAACCATCATTATGTAGTTATTCATATCTTGGACATCATAGTACAATTGAAATACTAACATCACTCATTAATATTTATGGTGGTTTGGTAATTATTACTCAATGTATAGCTGTCATACTTACAAAAGTATGGCTATGTCGAACACATCGAGTTAATTCAGAAACAAATTGACAAAACAATTAATATATCTGCAAATAAAGTAAATAACTAAGTTTTTCTTTTACTAATCAAATTTTGAAGTGTATATAAAGAGAGTGTTGATGTAATAATGTATCGATATCAATCAAACAATAAATGTTGTCCTTAATAAAATTGTCGAAAATAAACTAACTTTGTTGTCAATATTCTGTTATTGTGAACAAGCACAAGTGTTTCTTGAAAAATTGATGTAATTATATTTTTCAGGAAACATCTAGATGTCTAATAATGTATACTAACAAAAAGCTAAACAGTTTTTAGATAATACATTGAAAAAGCAATACTAAATACATTAAAAGTATTATTTGACAATGAAATAAAGTAATATATTTTATTATATTAGACAGAGAAAAAGCAATTCCTTTTTTTTGAATTCATCCACGCTGAATTGAAACTAGAAGATTAGCATATAATATGATCTTGAAAGGATTACAGTCTGACAAGGGAAATCTTCCAACTGTTCAATCGCTTTTCAGTCGAGACTATATTTAAATGAGAAGGAAAAAGAATATGATGTCAGATGCCAATATAGAGACAACATTTTTAGAAGAGAGAGATATATGAATACGTGTTTGTGCGGCGACGTGTGAACGGCACCCGATAGTAAAGAGAAGAAATATTAAGTTTACCCATCTAGCGTAACAAAAAAAAAAGATGGTTACGTTGCATAGAAATCAACGTGTATAATTGTGCAGTTATTGTTGAAGTGAAATGTGTGTCAAAGAGTTGAATTAGAGCATGTATCAAACCATTTACATGTAACAAGTATTGATATGTGCTTGTAAGACATGTGTTAGCACGTTGAAACCGACGTATGTCAATATTAATCAATTACTCTAAATGCATGTCAGTGTGAAACGCTATTTCATAGTTCAAATATGTTGTTTTCAACCTAACGCAACCACTTTTTATGTTAAATTGAAACGAAAACGGCTTGTTTTTAATGTTGTTTACGTGTTATCCTATCTGTTTGGGGCATGTGTTGCGGTTGAGCGAGTTGGTGCAGTTTCGTCAGTAACCCTGTCTTTCTAAGCAAAAATGAAAGGCGTCCGAATCCAATCTCATTCTGAACCATTATTGCTCTTTTCATAGCAGCTTTCATTCGCTTTGCACTAGGCTCAAGCCCATCATAGGTCGACGTGTCGATATGCTCTTTTGATCTCATTGTGGACTATGAATGAGAGCAAGCAGCAGTTCTCATTTGCATCTCGATCAATTTTCACGTATCTCACACGACAATTCTGTAGGCTGTACTGACTTTTTTTCATTCTTTCTTTGTGTTGTTGTGAAATAAACATCAATAGCATTGTAAACGCATTTTGCACCTTACTGTGTGCTCTTATCAGTACAATAAAATGCGTTAGCTCTGTTATCAGTGTCAATCTACAAAAAAAAACGAAAAATGGCTCATATTATTGATGATGTTGATACCATTCCAAGAAAATTGTCGTTCGTTAGTTCATCGGCCGAAGATCAAATAGCAGTTGGTGCCAAAGTTGGCAATATGATCGTCGACAATCATACTTCGTTATCAGACATTGTTCTACCTCTTAACAACAATTCTGATGATCAGTCATTCCGATTTTCCATTAATAAAATTTACAAAAATCTATTGATTCTTTCATTGGCTTTTGCATTATTATTCACGGCCTATGCCGGTATATCCACTCTTCAGTCAACCTTAAACACCAAAAACAATGTTGGGATCAATGCGCTCATTGTCACAAATGTTTTAGTGATTGTGAGTAGGGACTACAATAGTGAGAACAAAATTTTTCTCTTTTTCTAGTTTAGCTCGATCTTTCTTACCAGTATCTCTATGGACATTTTTGGATTGAAATGGAGTATTGTTCTCGCCGAAGTTGGCTATATTCTATTTATTGTCGCTAATATTCGTCCTTTACCTTCACTTATGTACATTAGTAAGTCTTTTTTTAAACAAATATCTGCACAAGTGGGGCACAAGAAAAATGTCGTAGAGGGGAGAGGGCTTTGTCCGTCTGACCATGTCCGTAGAAAGATGGAGAATCTTCTTTTAACGTCTTTAAAGGAGACTCAAACTCTTTTCGAAGGAGGACTTAGTCATTCGTAGAAACGACTGGAAGTCTTGTAGAGAGGTGGAGGTAGGGCTGAATTCCCCTAGTCCCCATCTAGTTACGCCACTAATCTATAAGAAATTTATGAAGACTATCTCGCTTCTCTAGGTGCAGCTTTTGTCGGCCTTGCTGCTGCTCCATTATGGACAGCTCAAGCAACCTATCTTAGTCAAATTGCTCGTCTATACGCGCAAGCAAAGCATCAAATGACTGACGTGGTTGTTAGTCTATTTTTTGGTATATTCTTTGCTTGTGTTGGTACCAGTGCCATTTGGGGCAATTTAATTTCATACTTTGTACTAAATCAATCGAACTATCCACAAAAACTCAACTGTGGTGTCTATTTCGATCCACAAGCAGCCGTAACTGTGAACATGACGAGCAATGTTAGCGAGAAAACGGTGAGATAATTTGTTTTTCTTTCAGGTAAATCATTTGCATACCGTGTATTAAAGCGTTATATTCTATGTGGAATATTCTCTGGTTTGGGCATCCTCTCCATTATACTTTTGGTGTTTATGCTTGATCAAATTCGACTCAACCAAAAACGTTAGTGACTTTTTATTTTGATCGTTGAGAAAGATGACTTCATTAAAGTAGAGCCCGTTCAACAATCATTGAAAAAGTGTATTGAAGTGCTTCAATCCTTCACTCGATGGAAAAGCGTAGATCAATTTTTTCTGATTCCACTTACAATGTGGACTCTCATCGAGAACTCTTTTTTTACAGCACAATTTACTCGAGTAAGAATACATAGAAACAAATGCATTTTCATTTTACATTAATTATATTGATCTCGATTACAGGGATTTGTCAATTGTCTCATCGGTATTCGGTATAATTTGATCTAATAATCTTTCATATAGACTTTATTATTTATTAGCTATGTTGGTCTAGTCATGATGTGCCACGGGATATGTGATGTAATAGGCAGTTATCTCTTTGGTCATCTTGTCAAATGTGTAGGCCGAAAAGGATGTTTCATCATAGCAGCCGCACTCAATTATGCAATGATTGTTCTGATGTTTCTCTGGCAACCAGATGATAGTCAAATGATCATTCTTTTTGTTATCGCCGGTTGTTGGGGCGCAGCAGATGCTGTCTGGCAGTCCCAAGTCATCGGTATATTTCGTTTCATTTTGATTTATTGATGATGTATGTGTTTCAGCCACTTACACGGTTCTATATTCTGAAAGTGATCCAAGTGTTGTGGCGAAATATCGTCTTTGGAAATCTGTCGGCTCTCTTATTTCACTCAGCGTAAGGTTCTTTATCTCTCTATTTTTCCATTAAATTTGCTTCGTATTTCTTATAGTATGCTAGCTACATAACAATCTATCTCACACTCATTCTTCTTCTCGTCTATCTGACAGTGAGTATGATTTGTTATGGTATCCTCGAAACTTATCTTCGATGTAAAGACTATCGAAAGAAACAGGACAATCTGATTAACTAAACTTAACAATAATTGCTTGTCCTTGTTGCTTTGCTTTCGTCCGAAAACAAATAAGATATCATATACAAGTTAATTTCACCGTAGATCTTACTGGCTGATGTCTAAATGATGCTTTGCTTACATAGTGAAGAGAATATTCGTTATTCATGGCAGAAAAGTGGAAGACAGTACGCGTTCTATACTATATCTGGGAGAATTACATTGAAAGAGACTAGCACTATGACATGTAAAATAACGTAGATGCCTTTAATCATCAGAAAGAAAGAAAAAAAGGTTAGGATATGATAAAATTACTACTATATGTGGAGAGCATTCGGAGTTCTTTGAGCATGCGATATAGTAGAAAAAAATGGAAATGTTCTTTGCTCTTCCAATCAGGTTGCACAAAATTTTCTTGACGGAGATCTGGACTTTGATTGGGCCTTCGAGATCTTCATTCCGCCATGAATGTTTTCTTCATTTTGGCTTTCATTTCAAAAGAAAAGCCTTTTCTTTAATCTTAAAAGCAAAGAAGAGCGCGCAGAGAGTTCCTTGCTAAGGTAAATGTCTGCAAGTTCTGTTACTCTTTGTTTTCTTTTCGAAAAAAAATCAAAGTGATACCGTTTGCTGATCGAATTCCATCTAAACAACAAAAATTTCTTTTTCATGATATGGTTTCATAGATCATTTATTTCTCTATTGAATTTTGCCGTTTGAGAGCAAGTTCGTACAAACTATGCATGATGCATCGAGCACGAGAACCTGTTTTCTTTTCGAATCCGTTCGAGAAATCGATCAATGAGGATTGATTCTCGAATGAAGAAAAAACGGGTAGGGTATAGGTGTGTCTATCCTCTGCGTCTACACCCACATCCTATTCATTCGCCAATAAGACTTTCGTCCACAGTTTGGCAAGGTTCTTGTGGAGTTTCACGTACTGTCGCAGAAAAGTATGAATTTAGCATGTGTATTTAAACACTCTGCTAAATGTTATGAATATGTATTTTCATGTTTGTACGCATGAATGCAATTAATGCAAATCTCTTTAATCAATATCAAAGTTACACACAAATCGTCAAAAGTTAAGTGAATTTTTGGTAATTCTAAATCTCGCCAATGTGTTTTTTTGGAATTATTTTTTGCGGCATCTATGATCTTCTCAATTATCTTCAAAATTACAGTGAACCTAGGTATACACCGGTTGACCACTTCTGGCTGATTGATTGGGTATCCACCTGAACTAGATACACATTCAGTGTCCTGTTACCAAATCTCTATTGATCTTTGTTCTATGATAAATAATTATCATTCATGTCAGGATTGCACTAGACTCAGTCAATAACTGAAAAACAGTTCATCAGATGGACTGATACCCGGGTAAATGAAGCTGATGCATACCTCAGTGAGACAATGTACCGTTTTTGTTCTTATTTTATTGGAACAGAGAAAAACATACGATAGAACATTGTAATTCTTCTACCAAGAGAAAGAGTAAATCTATTTTCTAACGTCTCACAATATAAAAATCATTTATGCATATGTAAAATCAGATTACTACTAAAGTCGAGTGATGTTTGACTTTCATTTTTTTTTAATATTCGAGTGAACAATCAAGCAAAACAATTCGTGAATTTTCAATTCGTCTAAATAAACAATGAAAAGAACAATTCATCGATCATTATAGTTTGTATAGCATCAACTAATGTTCGCCAAGCCAAATCACTCCTAATTTTATTTAGTCATAAAAAAACAAAATAATCTTTAAATAATCCATCTTGATAAATATTTTGTTTTAATACAACTTTTAACTACATCTAACATTTCATCACGATTTTTAAAATCAATTAGTATCTTGTGGGAGATAATATTCAGTTTGAACGAATAATGTACCATTACTGAGTTCTTCATCTTGTGTTAAACTTATTTCAATCACTGATTCACAAGCAGGATGTTGAACTTAAATCTAAATCATTTAAAAAACTCGATTAGTGTGATATATTTCACGTAAAATAGCATTGTCATCATTCGTTAAGACAATAGCACCCATAGAATCAAGTACCATCTATTAAAGGAAATTTATACAAGAAAAAAAAGCAAACTTTGAGTATTACTTGTGGATCAGGACAGGTACAAATTGTATCGGCAACAGTCTTGCAAAAAGAAGATAATTATGAAAATTAAAAGACAAAAAATATTGTAATACATTAGCAACGAAAATATTGCTGAATTGAATCTTTTTTCCTTGGTCTCGTTCTGTTCTTGCATCTAGATAAAAGAGAGGAGATTGATCAACTCAATATAGATTATCTTATTTGTTTAGAAACATACCTGATTGAAGACTATTATCATTGCCGATCATCATTTTTGATTTTTTACTAGAATACATCTAAATGTCATTATTCGTCATCGAATAATAGAAAAAGAATAACTTTAAAGATCATATATATCTACAAGATTACTAAAGAAAGAAAAACAAAAAAAAACATAGCACTTTTGTTTAGAATTATTTCAAACAAGTCAATATATTTGATGATATCACATGATACCATAATGAGGGTGGACATGTGGGTATGAGTGAGGATCAGTGTGTATATTGTTTACTATCATTTATCATCGGTCTCACCCACCATGCGTCATTAGCATTCTTCTATTCGGCTTCTTTCTTGGCTAAATTTCAATAGTACGAGGTGTAAGTGTGCATGAGAATCTTCTTTTCGGTACTATCCACACTCTTTATTTTTGTAATATGATAAAGAGCGGTTGTCACTCCAAGTACACACAACCATTCATTTTTTTCGAAATTACAATACCTCACGGATTTCTTTTTTTTATACAAGCTTCAAGCAAAAGATTGAATTTTACAGTAAACATTTTCCTAGAGGTAGCCCTAAATTTTAGAAACTATGCCAGAGAAATCTATCGAAAATGGATATTATCCCCGATGAGAATATACCGATGGTTTCTGTCGTCAATTCATCGACGTCAAAGTCTGCTTCACAAATGACTCGAAAGTTGTTCCGTCTACTCTTGTCGCTCAATACTTTCAATTGGACCATTTTATTTGACTGTTTACCATCATTTGGGTACATTTTCTTTACTGCTCTATAGTGCAATAGCTTAGTATTATGCGAACATTGTCGATACAGGAACCTATTCGCTCGCTTGATAGTTGGGTGCTCGTTGGACAACTGTATCAACATCTATGAATATAATAGGTACATTATTTGACTCTATGCTTCTGAGTTTCATCGCAATCATTGCTTGGCGAAGTTCACCTTCCTGCAAGTTGATCCTACATATGAAGCTTTAACATTAATAACAGTTTGGTTCTTGGCAACACTTGCAATTACCTATGCGCGAATTAAGATTCGTAATCTCATCTAAATAGAGCAGCTAAATGACGAATGCATGTTTTACTTTGGCACATCTCTACAATTGGGCTTGATATTCAGCACTATATCAATTCTGAAGGTGAGTGCAGGTATAGTGTGTCGGTCCGCCAATATCTGAAATAGATTACTTCTCACAATATAGACGACAAGAAACTATTATCGACGCCTGAATTCAAGGTATCTGAATGTTTTTTGAATAACTCACGTAAAATGCAAGATAAGGGGATGAGATTTTGAGCAATCCAAACATGTGAATACCTTATGAATCTTACAACATGTAGAGATAATCTCGTTCGTAATTCAATAAAATGATTTATTTAGAAAACTAACAGTATATTATGAAACACTCTATGTTGAATTGTAGAGCGAACAAGTTTGATTTATATTCCTCAGCTGGTTATGTCAGACAAGATTCGGCTTTCTTTCTGGTACACAGCAATAAATTTTGGTTTCAATAATAGATATATAAAGTTTACAGAATAATTACTGTTACTATCTGACTCATTCTAGTAAATAATATTGAAAACTTAATGAATAGAATCACTTATCATATTATCTCAATGGCATATTAAGTAATAAAAGATTTTATACTGTAAAATTTCGTTGTTTTACTAGAAATTATCAATATCAATCGTCAAATACTTCTTATGACTGAATCAATTCTTCAACAATATTGAAATTAGTCAACTTATTCAAACTGACTAATTACTAATATTTCAAATTTAGTAAAATATGAAATATATGATACGATGTATATAAAACTTAGCGCGATATTCATTCTATCGATTTAGTCATTTTCCTGAAAATGAAATCTTTTTCTTCAATATTAGAAGATACAAAATAATCATCGCTAGTTTCTGTATCAATATCTTTGTTGTTGTGTAAATGCTCAAGGTCAAAATTAATGTTAATGACACATCAAAGATAGACATAAGAGTTTTTAGCTTTTAATCAATTGTGGAAACACTCTACATCTATATAGTCAATGTTCTGAAAGCTACAAAGCAATTCTGAATGTATATGAGAAATTAAATATTCCGATCTATATCATATTTAAGTGCATGAAATTTGAAGCTTTGAAGAAAAGTTCCCTAACTGATGAATCGCTTTCGAGATGAGAGTATGTGCATCATATAGATTCTAATAAACTATGAATACTCTGTAAAACTCACGTTACCATGGCATTGACCAAAAAAATACCGTAAAAATGTAGTATCTTCACAGTAATAAGCTAAACGAATGAACTGTTTTTAGAGTATTCATAACTCATTATGATCTACATAATGTACATAGTCTCGACACAAAAGTGGAACTTCCCTTGTTAGTAGAGTGCCATTTCTATCCGTTGATGGACAAAATCATTTGTTAGTAACGTGACTTTGCAAAATTAAAAAAAAACACGTACCAAAGGATAATAAATTTTCCTAGCGTTAATATTCATATATTACATATATATTAAATTACTCTAGATATCCTGAAAAATAAACGCCAGAGACCTCTGTTCAGAGAAGTTATCATTAAAAAACTAGTGTTAGCGACGTGAGACAAAAACGACATCGACTTTCATTTCATGCATTTTAGTTTTTAAAAAAATTAGAATTGAGGTAGTATCATTGAAAAACTAAATAG